TGGGAAGAATATTTTTAAAAATATATTTCAAATATATTTTTCTTCCATGTGGGGAGGTTGGAAGCACTGTGAAAAGACTACTAAGTCTGGCTACAACAGGTTATTTAAATCTCAACCCACACACCCAGCCAAAACATTCATCTAAACACATTCTCCAATATCTGCAAATAACTTAAATCAATTTTGTGTGATCCAACTCATTTTTTCTCTTTTACCCCCCCCCCCCCAACCCAAAACAAATGGTCTGAAAAAGTACATTGGCTTGGAGGGGTGTGGTCAAATTGCACCAACAGTGGGAGGGCCATAGTTAAATAAACCTCCGCTGTACTCAGCACACATAGGCCACAAACTGTGCTGTATTGATGGAGCCACGAGTGAGAGTGCAACAGACACACATAAACCTCAGCACAGATTTTAATGAGCTGAAATGGTTATTATTATTTCAGGTACTTATATAGCGCCATCAATGTACGCAGCTCTTTACATATATATTGTACATTCGCATCAGTCCCCGCCCCCGAGGAGCGTACAATCTAAAGTCCCTAACTCATATTCATACATACACATACTAGGGACAATGTAGACAGGAGCCAAATAACCTTCCAGCATGTCTTTGGAGTGTCGGAGGAAACCCACACAGGCACAGGGAGAACATGCAAACTCCAGGCAGGTGGTGCCATGGTCGGGATTCGAACTGAAGACCCGAGTACTGTCAGACGTTACATATCCTTTTTCTGCACCCAGCTGTGAGATGGGGAAACAGTTCTCATTTTTATGAATACTGCTTGTGTGGAGTAAATTAAATGTTTTGACTGACATTCTGCAGTTTAGCCACAAGATGTCGCTGTTTTTCTAACACAGCCTCAGACTGCATAGATATTTCTATATTCATGAAGAGGTGGAGTTTTTCACACAGAGAGAGAGCAGCCATGTTTTTGGAGCATGGTGAATAAGGGGCCCTGTGAGCTGAGAATCTGATGACATCCAGGTGTGAAAGCATCCCTCCTTAACCAGAGCTGCAGCTAAGTGAAGCTGATGAGATTGCTGCCAGGAATGCTGATGAGATCAGAGGAACTAAGCAACATATACGGCGAGACCGCATGCTTGTTGGAGAGACATTTGTTCTGTTCAGAGTCACCAGCGGATGCAAAGCAGACCCGGGTCGGTAAGATCGTGCACGCACCTCATTTCAGTGTTGGCGCCTGGAGACTGAGGCCAGGCCTATAGTAGGTTAGGGTCTGTGTTTGTGTCAGGCCACAAGTGTTGTTACTGATCATTGGAAGGACTCCACAACTTAAAGTGACATTTCACATTGGAGAGCTGATAAAATCCTACAAACTCACCCAGACTGGCGTTTTGCTCAGAAGGAATACTCAGGCACGTGCTACAGGACCAGTTATGGGGGGGGGGGGAATACTGTAGATTTGTGTAAGATTGTAAGCTAAGCTGTTGTGCTGCACCGCAGGCTAGCCCATCCCGTACACCCATACACTGATTCCTGCTCTGTAGGGTAATAACAGGTAAGGTGTGGCAGCTTAGTTGTGCCCCCCAGTAGGTAAATTACTTCACACTTTCTACCTTCATCCATCAGGAGGCGCCGTGCTGTGCAGCACAAGGGTCTCAGCCTTTGGGCTGGGTGGATGTAAATTTATTGTATGTTCCCAGCATTTGTGGTTTTGTTTATTTGCCACATCTAAGTAACATTCTGTTGTGGCAAAAGCTGGTGTTGGGGTTCCTTTCCTCGTTCGTGACTTCACTGTATCCTGGGGAGCCCCCCCCGGTACAACGGCTTACACTGCCTACCTTACAGAAGAACTTCATCAAAACTGGAGCAGACAGAATCTGGAGCAGCTGAACATGGCGACCAATCAGCTTCTATCTTCAGCTTGTTCAGTTAAACTTTGAAAATGAATGTTAGAAGCTGATTGGTTATGATTGGCAGCAGCTCCAGATTTGATCAATTCCCCAAAAGTGTGTATAGTGCAAGGGTCAGGAGTGCGCAACGCCAGGCCACAGGGTGCAAACACAATGACCGCCTCTTCCCATATCACATATCCCCCCTTCCTTCATGTCCATGTCCCCCCACAGTGCAGATCTCTCCAATATCCCTAAACCCCCCCTTCCCACCTACCACCTCAGCACAGCTCCCCCCCAGCACAAACTCTTCAGTACAGGCAGACCCCCCCCCCCCAGCAAAGAGCTACCCCCACAGCAGAGACCCCTTGGTACTTAGTAGTCCCCCCCCCCTCCAGTGCAAACCCCTCTGTACAGACTTCCCTCTTCCCAGGGCACAGACTGACCCCCCCCCCCAGTACAGACACCTCAGTACTGACCAACTCCCCCAGCACAAACCCATCAATATAGACTGCCTCCCCAGCACAAACCCCCAGTATAGACCCCTCAGCACAAACTGCTCAGTGTAGACGGACCCCCCCAGCACAGACTGACCCCCCAGCACAGACCCATCAATATAGACTGCCTCCCCAGCACAGACCCACAGTATAGACCCCTCAGCACAAACTGCTCAGTGTAGACGGACCCCCCCCCCAGCACAGACTGACCCCCCAGCACAGACCCATCAATATAGACTGCCTCCCCAGCACAGACCCACAGTATAGACCCCTCAGCACAAACTGCTCATTGTAGAGGGACTCCCCCCAGCACAGACTGACTGACCCCCCCCCCAGCTCAGACCAACACCCTCAGCACAGACTGACCCCCCAGCACAGACCAACCCCCCCAGCACAGACCCATCAATATAGACTGCCTTCCCAGCACAGACCCCCAGTATAGACCCCTCAGCACAAACTGCTCAGTGTAGACGGACCCCCCCAGCACAGACTGACCCCCCAGCACAGACCAACCCCCCCAGCACATACACCCCCAGTACCGACCAACACCCCCAGCACAGACCCATCAATGTAGACTGCCTCCCCAGCACAGACCCCCAGTATAGACCCCTCAGCACAAACTGATCAGAGTAGACGAACCCTCCCCAGCACAGACTAACCCCCCAGCACAGACCAACACCTCCAGCACAGACTGACCCCCCCCCCCCCCCAGCACAGACATCTCAGTACCGACCAACTCCCCCAGCACAGACCCATCAATATAGACTGCTTCCCCAGCACAAACCCCCATTATAGACCCCTCAGCACAAACTGCTCATTGTAGAGGGACCCCCCAGCACAGACCAACCCCTCCAGCACAGACTGACCCCCCCCCCAGCACAGACCAACCCCCCTCCAGCACAGACTGACCCCCCCAGCACAGACCAACCCCCCCAGCACAGACTGACCCCCCCAGCACAGACCAACCCCTCCAGCACAGACTGACCCCCCAGCACAGATCCATCAATATAGACTGCCTCCCCAGCACAAAACCCCAGTATAGACCCCTCAGCACAAACTGCTCATTGTAGAGGGACCCCCCCAGCACAGACTGACCCCCCCCCCCAGCACAGACACCTCAGTACCGACCACTCCCCCAGCACAGACTGACCCCCCAGCACAGACACCTCAGTACCGACCACTCCCCCAGCACCGACTGACCCCCCAGCACAGACACCTCAGTACGGACCAACTCCCCCAGCACAGGAAAGATTCACCTCCCATACACTCCAGTGTTGGGGATTTGCAGACCTCTCGCTGGGTTTCTTGAACCTCCTGTGAGCTTCACCTGGCCGGCTCCTCCCTCTGCGTCGGACCTGGCGGGACGGGACGCCATGAAAGTCATTTGTATCCTGTTTGTGGATTTTACATAAAGAAGATCTCTCTATAAAGAAGAACATAAAAGGGAAATGGCGTTCCCCCCAACGATAAAGGCGGTTTATTTCCCCGCTAATTGGGAGCCGTCCCCACGCACACCTGAGATGTAATTACCAAATGACATCAAAGTCGATCGCTCTACACGCGGCGCATCTCCTAATTATGGCGGCCTATTTTCCAGGTGCCTCGATGTGGATCTTCAGTTGAATCCACTTTGCGGTTAATATATAAAAAAGGGAGAAAGTCGCGTTCATTCATCAGGAGCGTCTCCCGAGAGCCGCGGCGTAATGACACGGGAAAGGCGAAAAAAATAAAAGAAAAAAAAATCGGGTTTTCACTTCAATGGCGGCTGTTCTAGGACAGAGAGATGTTCTGAGGCCTCCAGGAGAGGCGGATCAGTGGGATCCGGGATGGCGGCGGCGGCTCTTGTGTTTAAATAGCGCACAAAAGAAATATAAAAAGGATTTGGAGCCCAAATGGAGGACGAGATCAGAGTCTCACTCCTACTGCGGCTTTCTGTGAGTGGAACGAGAAAATAAAACCCGCCAGTAAATGGTGCAATGAGGTTTACAGTACACAAGCAGGTAAGAAAAGACCAGATTTACTCCAATAGTGAGGATTAAAGAATTCAACTTCAGGCAGATATATAATATACAAATAAAGTACATTCTATTCTATTCATAATTAAATGTATCTTTTTAAAGCTTCCCTTCAGCACAGTTTTTATCGGCTCCTCCCCTTCAGTCTTGCACAGGTTTACCAGCTCCTCCCCTCCAGTCTTGCACAGGTGTATGGCTCCTCCCCTTCAGTCTTGCACAGGTGTGCCGGCTCCTCCTTCAGTCTTGCACAGGTGTACCGGCTCCTCCCCTTCAGTCTTGCGTAGGTGTACCGGCTCCTCCCCTTCAGTCTTGCACAGGTGTATGGCTCCTCCCCTTCAGTCTTGCACAAGTGTACCGGCTCCTCCTCTTCAGTCTTGCATAGGTGTACCGACTCCTCCCTCCAGTCTAGCACAGGTGTACCGGCTCCTCCCCTTCAGTCTTGCACAGGTGTACAGGCTCCTCCCCTTCAGTCTTGCACAGGTGTACAGGCTCCTCCTCTTCAGTCTTGCATAGGTGTACCGACTCCTCCCTCCAGTCTAGCACAGGTTTACCAGCTCCTCCCCTTCAGTCTTGCACAGGTATACCGGCTCCTCCCCTTCAGTCTTGCGCAGGTGTATTGGCTCCTCCCCTCTTCTCTTGCACAGGTGTATTGGCTCCTCCCCTTCAGTCTTGCACAGGTGTACCGGCTCCCCCCTTCAGTCTTGCACAGCTGTACCGACTCCTCCCCTTCAGTCTTGCACAGGTGTACTGGCTCCTCCTCTCCGGTCTTGCACAGGTGTAACGGCTCCTCCCCTTCAGTCTTGCACAGGCGTACTGGCTCCTCCCCTCTACTCTTGCACAGGTGTACCGGCTCCTCCCCTTCAGTCTTACACAGGTGTACCGGCTCCTCCCCTTCAGTCTTGCACAGGTGTACTGGCTCCTCCCCTTCAGTCTTGCACAGGTGTACTGGCTCCTCCCCTTCAGTCTTGCACAGGTGTATCGGCTTCTCTCCTGGCCTGAAATGGCTTCCTCTGATTTCACTGCACACTGTGAGCTTCTCACAATGTGCATTAGAAGCTGCAGCAAGTCAGACAGAGCTCCTCCTCATTTCCTGGCTGGAGGACATCCTGCATCATCTAGCACCTTCCTCCCCAGCCTGACTGTCCCTGGCCTCTTCTCTTTCATTCATTAGAAGTCAGTTCTTTCAATCATGGAGGCTCAGCATCACATGTGGGTGTTACCTATGCTAATACAGCCGGCCTAGGAACGCCCACTCCTCCAGACTGGCACCCACCCATCAAGGCATTTTGATATTTGCAAAGGGCACGTTAGCATCTGAACTGGACCACCAAGCAATGGAAGAAGGTGGTTGGACTGATGAATTACGTTTTCTTTTCCATCGTGTGAATGGCGGGGTGGGTGTCACTTACCTGGGGAAGAGATGGCACCAGGATGCAGTATGGCAAGCTGGCCGGAGCAATGCTTTGGGCAATATTCTGCTGGGTAACCATTCATGTGGATGTTACTTGACACATACCACCTACCTAAACATTGATGGTGACCACCCCTACATGGAAATGGTATTCCCTGATGGCATTGGCCTCTTTCAGCAAGATTCTGCCCCCTGACACACTGCAAAAATGGTTCAAGAATGGTTTGGAGATTGGGGAACAAATTGCCCATGCTGAGTTGTGTCCACAGCCAAAAGTGCCCACATGGGGCACATGAGCATCAGATCTGGACCATGGAGCGATGGAAGAAGGTGGCCTGGTCTGAGGAATTCAAGAATGGTTTGGAGAATGGGGAACAAATTGCCCATGCTGAGTTGTGTCCACAGCCAAAAGTGCCCACATGGGGCACATGAGCATCAGATCTGGACCATGGAGCGATGGAAGAAGGTGGCCTGGTCTGAAGAATTCAAGAATGGTTTGAGGAATACAACGAGTTCAAAGTGTCCTCCAAATTCTCCAGATTTCAATCCAATTGAGCATCTGTGGGATGTGGTGGAAAAACAAGTCCGATCCATGGAGGCCCCGCCTCCCAACTTACAGGACTTAAAGGATCTGCTACTGAAGGCTCGGTGCCGATACCACAGATACCTTCAGAGGGCTAGTGGTTCCACGCCTCATTAGGTTGGGGCTGTTTTGGTGGCAGAAGGGGGGCATTCTCAATAATAGGAGGGTGGTCATAAAGTTGTGGCTGATCAGTGTGTATATACAGTGTTTGTATATACAGTCATGGCCGAAATTGTTGGCACCCTTGATATTTCTCCAGGAAATCATGTATTTCTCACGAAACGTATTGCATTAACACATGTTTTGCTATACACATGTTTATTCCCTTTGTGTGTATTGGGACAAAACAAAAAAAGGGAGGAAAGAAAGCAAATTCGACATAATGTCACACAAACCTCCAAAAATGGGCTGGACAAAAGTATTGGCACCCTTTCACAACTGCGGATAAATAAGAATGTTACAAGCATGTGATGCTCCTGTAAACTCACCTGGGGCAAGTAACAGGTGTGGGCAATATAGAAATCACACCTGAAAGCAGATAAAAAGGAGAGACGTTCACTTAACCTTTGCATTGTGTGTCTGTCTGTGCCACACTAAGCATGGACAACAGAAAGAGGAGACGAGAACTGTCTGAGGACCTGAGAACCAAAATTGTGGCAAAATATCAACAATCTCAAGGTTACAAGTCCATCTCCAGAGAACTAGATTTGCCTTTGTCCACAGTGCGCAACATTATCAAGAAGTTTGCAACCCATGGCACTGTAGCTAATCTCCCTGGTCGTGGACGGATGAGGAAAATTGATGAAAGATTGCAACGCAGAATAGTCCGGATGGTGGATAAGCAGCCCCAAACATGTTCCAAAGACATTCAAGCTGTCCTGCAGGCTCAGGGAGCATCATCAGTGTCAGCGCGAACTATCCGTCGACATTTAAATGAAATGAAACGCTATGGCAGGAGACCCAGGAGGACCCCACTGCTGACACAGAGACATAAAAAAGCAAGACTACAGTTTGCCAAAATGTACTTGAGTAAGCCAAAAGCCTTCTGGGAAAACGTCTTGTGGACAGATGAGACCAAGATAGAGCTTTTCGGTAAAGCACATCATTCTACTGTTTACCGAAAACGGAATGAGGCCTACAAAGAACAAAACACAGTACCTACGGTAAAATATGGTGGAGGTTCAATGATGTTTTGGGGTTGTTTTGCTGCCTCTGGCACTGGGTGCCTTGACTGTGTGCAAGGCATCATGAAATCTGAGGATTACCAAAGGATTTTGGGTCGCACTGTAGGGCCCAGTGTCAGAAAGCTGGGTTTGCGTCCAAGATCCTGGGTCTTCCAGCAGGACAATGACCCCAAACATACGTCAAAAAGCACTCAGAAATGGATGGCAAAGAAGCGCTGGAGAGTTCTGAAGTGGCCAGCAATGAGCCCAGATCTAAATCCCATTGAACACCTGTGGAGAGATCTTAAAATTGCTGTTGGGAAAAGGTGTCCTTCCAATAAGAGAGACCTGGAGCTGTTTGCAAAGGAAGAGTGGTCCAAAATTCCGGGTGAGAGGTGTCAGAAGCTTATTGATGGTTATAGGAAGCGACTGATTTCAGTTATGTTTTCCAAAGGGTGTGCAACCAAATATTAAGTTAAGGGTGCCAATACTTTTGTCCAGCCCATTTTTGGGGTTTTGTGTGACATTATGTCATATTTGCTTTTCTGCCTCTGTTTTATATTTGTTCCAATACATACAAAGGGAATAAACATGTGTATAGCAAAACATGTGTTAATGCAATACCTTTTTTGTGTGAAATACTTGATTTTCAGGAAAAATATCAAGGGTGCCAACAATTTCGGCCATGACTGTATATATGAGGTGTGACAATCTAATTCCTGGAATTGACTGAGGCCAAAAAATATTGCTTACTTATACACTGGCTGTTGTCACCTTCAAAGTAGTCCCCTTGTGAAGACTGCCCCACTGCCAGAAACATTCCTGGAATTTGCAGTATCTTTTTCACGGCGCGCTAGATGTCCAGAATGTCATGAAATCTACGTCCTTTTAAGGCATTTTTTCAATTTTAGAAACAGCCAAAAGTGTCAGGGTGCTAAGTCAGGGGAGTAAGGTTGTTGGCCAAGTTTCAATGGATTTCTAGGCCAGGAACTCATAAATACTTAACACATCATGTGCAGGAGCATTGTCGTGGTGGAGGATCCACTTGTCAGGCCAGAGATCTGGTCTTTTCCTCCGAACAGATTCCAGTAACCTTTCATTTTCCACATTTGCATCCGTCCGCAACGCACACACGTGTTATTTCTTCTACTACTCTGTAAAGACCAAGTCCAGTATATATATATACCTCCAGCATGAGTGTATGTAATGGAAAGGGATGCTAGGGTATGCTGGAAGGGAAGGTCTATTGATGTTGCTGGCTGCTGTAGAATCTATTGATGCTGGCTGCTGGGAGATCTGTTTTTGCTGCTGTGGGTCTATTGTTACTGGGGTGGTATTTTGTTGCTTGGGGCCATTGTTGCTGGGGAAATGTATTGTTGCTGGGGGGGGGGGGGGGGGGAGTCTATTGCTGCTGGCTGTGGGTGATCTATTTTACTGATTTTATTGTTATCATTAACAAATTCCATACCAAGAATTAGCACCATAAAATTATACTCGGCTCTGTATCCTCTAAAAGGTGCAATACTGGGAGGTGGGTAGGGGGTGGAACCAAAGGACAGTGGTTGGAGGTGGGTAGAAGGTGAAACCAAGGGATGGTGCTCAGACGTGGGTGGCTGGGTGGGGGGGGGCAATCAAGGGATGGTATTCAGATGTGGGTAGGGTATTCAACCACGGGACGGTGCTGGGATGTGAGTGGTGGGAAGTTGGCAAAGCATGGTGCTCATAGGTGGGTAGGAGGTAGAACCAAGTGGTGGTGCTCAGACGTGGGTATGTGGTGGAACCAAGGGATGGTGCTCGGACCTGGGTGGCTGGGTGGGGGGTGGGGCAATCAAGGGATGGTATTCAGATGTGGGTGGCTGGGTGGGGGGGGGGGGCAATCAAGGGATGGTATTCAGATGTGGGTAGGGTATTCAACCACGGGACGGTGCTGGGATGTGAGTGGTGGGAAGTTGGCAAAGCATGGTGCTCATAGGTGGGTAGGAGGTAGAACCAAGTGGTGGTGCTCAGACGTGGGTATGTGGTGGAACCAAGGGATGGTGCTCGGACCTGGGTGGCTGGGTGGGGGGGGTGGGCAATCAAGGGATGGTATTCAGATGTGGGTGGCTGGGTGGGGGGGGGGCAATCAAGGGATGGTATTCAGATGTGGGTAGGGTATTTAACCACGGGACGGTGCTGGGATGTGAGTGGTGGGAAGTTGGCAAAGCATGGTGCTCATAGGTGGGTAGGAGGTAGAACCAAGTGGTGGTGCTCAGACGTGGGTATGTGGTGGAACCAAGGGATGGTGCTCGGACATGGGTAGGGGCTGAAGACAAGAGGTGACCAAAAAGTGGGTGGGGGGTGAAACAAAGGGATGGTGCTCGGACATAGGTATGGGATGGAACCAAGGGATGGTGCTCGGATGTGGGTAGGGGGTGGAACCAAGGGATGATGCTTGGACATGGGTAGGGGCTGGAGACAAGAAGTGACCAAAAAGTGGGTAGGGGGTGGATAGATTTTACAGACCCAACTGGGACAGGAGCTTTTGGAGGAGACTGCAGGCTAGCCTCTAGCCTACTGACTATGGGTCCCGGCATTTGAGGAGGCTCTATTTTTTGGGAAGTGTGTGCCTGCGGGGACCTTTTGGAGTTGTTTTACTTTGGATTCAAGTCCATGTCTCCACAAAACACACACTCTGAGAACTGGAGGACCAAGATACAGATTTGGGGTCTCTGTGCCCAAACCAGCATTGACTGCTTCAACCCCCCCTCCTAGACTCAGACTCACATCAGATGTTAATATAATCAGGTCAAGACAACCTGATGCTGAGGTCTCCTGCTGTAATCTGTTTATTAAGGTGTGATGTGTTTACTGTTGTGTTTTCCACCAATTGTTAATTGAGTCAGCTATTCTTTCTGTCCATTGGCTAGTCTTCCTGAAGGTTCCTAAATGATGGGGTTAGTCTGGTGTCAACTTGACCTCGTTACCTAATCAGTGTGGGATGTTTATCCCAATGTGTAATGTTTGTTTTTATTGCTCACGTGGAGACTACCCCTATTTCCGAAGTGTATAGAAAGCTGTATTTCAATAGAGTCCTAGTTGCACCTAAGCTAGTGTCGTCTAGTTATTGCACATA